GGTTGAAACCTCCGAAGGACCCCAAATAACGAAAGAAATGGAGCTCATGATAAAAGGAGCCAATGAAAAAGTGAAAAAAATGGACGAACAGCAAAATAACTTAAAAGATTTTGTGGTGAAAGAGCTGGAAAAGTTAAAAAACATGCTAAAACAGCTGGCAGAGTGTTATCAATTGATGAGAGGCGGAGAAACGGACCTTGGTGCTGAAATCGAAGAAGTTCGAGCTCTTTACCGAAAGGAAATGTTACAAAGAAAACTGCTCTACAACCAGTTACAAGAGTTGCGAGGAAACATTCGTGTGTTCTGCCGAATCAAACCCGACAAGTCGAGTTGCTTGACCGTCTCGGACGAATCGATTTCATTAGTGAATGTGCACGGGAAGAAAATGGAGTTTGAATTCGATAAGATTTACGACCAGAAAGTTTCGCAGAGTGATATTTTTGAGAATACCAAACCGATCATTACGTCTGCTGTTGATGGCTACAACGTGTGTATTATTGCTTACGGTCAGACTGGCTCAGGTAAAAGTCACTGCATTAACTTTTTTCCACTCCGCCCTTTATTTTTTCCCGCCAATAACTTTAGAAATCCCTATTCAAAGACTTGATGTTCTAAATTGGACGCTTCCTCCCCCGTCTCGCGTTACCCCGTCGCGTTAAATTGTAGGCTCTAAAATAAGTATGACTTAAAATTTAAAATGGTTAGCAATGGGGAGAAAACTGGTAGCAATGAATGAGAGTATATCGATCGATTAACCCGCCACCCCTTCCACCTCTCTCTCTGAAGTGACACCTCTGCACATTACAGGATTAAAAGCTTTGACTTACCTAGGAAAAACTTTCACGATGATGGGCCCAGAAAAAGATCCCGGAGTCAACTTGAGGGCGGTGCAGGAGCTATTCAGTGTAGCCAAAACTCGAGAGAAGGTCACGTTCAAAATAACAGCGCAGATGCTTGAAGTCTACAATGAGCAGATAAAAGACCTGCTTCGAGACCCCAAGGACCCAAAACCGGTAGACATTATCATCCGAATCATGGGCAAAACTGTCAAAATCGAGAACGCGGTCGAAACTGAAATCACAGCTCCTGATGATGTGAAGAAAATGATCAAACGAGGCGACGTAAATCGACACACAGCTCAAACCAAAATGAACACAAATAGTTCCAGGTCCCACTTGTTGCTGAAGATCAATGTTGAAATAACCGATAAAGTCACTGGAGGTCGAACTGTGGGAAGTTTGACCCTTGTTGACCTCGCGGGATCGGAGAAAATAGCAAAGAGCGGAGCTGAAGGCCAGACGCTTATTGAAGCCGCGGCTATTAATAAATCGCTGAGTTCACTTGGCCAAGTTTTTTCAGCTCTTAGATCCAAATCTGTTCACGTGCCCTACAGAAATTCGAAGCTGACTCAACTTCTACAACCGTCGCTAGGGGGCGACGCGAAAGCATGCATTTTTGTAAATTGCAGCCCGCTTGACAATAACTCGTCGGAAACTTTGAGCACGCTTGAGTTTGGCCAAAATGCGAGACAGGTTGAATTGGGCAAAGCTGGTCAGAATATCGTCGCAGGACCCGGAAAACCGCCTGGGGCAGAAGCAGGACCCGGAAAACCGCCTGCGGCAGGAGCGGGACCCGGAAAACCGCCTGCGGCAGGAGCGGGACCCGGAAAACCGCCAGCGGCCAAAAAATAAATATCAGTTTTTGTGAACAAACGACCCATCTCTTAATGGAAACTTTGGTAATGTGAAATTAAGTATTCAGAGCATGAACCAGCCTGATTAGAAAATTCTTATTTTTGAGAAGTTAATGAAATCTGAACTCTTAAATTAGCGGACACCGTTTTCGATGGATTGTTTTTTATCTAGGTTTGTTCACGAATTTTATAGCTCGACAAGTCACAGCTATTTAAAATATTTTAACTTTTCTGACCCGGTAACATTTAGTTACATTTTTTGTCGCCCCAAAAGCCAATATATGAAACGTTCTTTAATATGACCAATTAAAGTGAAATAAATAATTGTTAAAAGTATTCTCTGTCGCTAACCCAATGTATTGATTTGATTTGACTGCCTCAATACAATTTTTCTTCGCTTTTGATTTTCTTTTCTTTGTCTCATGAGAAGATGGCTGGCGTATGGTTTTGAAAAAGGGTGCTCGAACGCCGGCCGTGGGTTAAGAACGACCCACCTTCTCAAGTACAGCACTTAGTCCAGATTTGAAACAAAAACTCTAAATTTTGCAACAACAGGGGTACTTCAGAAGGCCCTGGGTTTCTTCAATGAATTAAAACTTGGTCATAATTCTTAGAGCAACGAGGGATAAAATTTTGCAAAATACTAATTATTCAGGGCATAAGAACTATGACAGTATTTATAAACAAGCCGAAATGGTCAGAAGAAAAGAATGATTGCCAAACTATTTAAAATTATTTCAAATTGTTTGCAGAGTTTTACAAGGACGTGAAAAGGAAATTAGCTTCAGGAAAAAAATTGACCATCTCCACATCTGCTCTAAATTCGGCCTGAAAAGATATTGACTAAAGAATAAAGTGATCACAATTATTAAGAAATTCAATCATTGCTATCAGTGTTTTGCTCTGTGCATTTGAAAATTGAAAAAAAATCTTAAAGCTTAGGGCGGAAGAAGTAAAAAAAATCAAATTGGCATGTAAGTTGGTACAACAGTGCTTCAATTGTATTCAGCAGAGGACATTAACTCAAGTCAATTTTCTGCTGAGTCGTTAGTTAGGACGCACATTCCAGCAAAAAGAAAATCGCAATCGGAGCAGATGATATGTTTTATTGAGAACGAGGCAGGAGAACAAACTGAAAACTAAATGCCGTGGTGATTTCCAAGCAAACTTGGAAAATAGTTACACTGAAAGCAAAAACAATAACGGTTTTCATTGCAAACCCATACCGCTAGGTAAGCTATAAAATCAATTCACTTTTCTAATTGAGCACGGGTATGAATAAAAAACAAAACTCCAAGTCTTTAATTAATTTTTATTTAAACTGGAATCTGTCTTAAACTCACAAAGATACTAATTTTTACCTCGCTTAAGTTTATCCTGAAATTCCTTTTATTGCCTGCAGGCAGATGATTTAAAATTATTTGATTTTTTTTTCAGTTTTCTAGTTTTTTTTTTCGAAATTATCCACAACTTCTCCGAATCTTTAACTACTTTAAAGTCTTTTAAGAGCGTTACACTCAGCGTTTTATCCTAATACAAAAAGTCTTGCTGTGCTGACTTTGAAAGAAAGCGACTAATTTTTTGAGCTCGGGTAGTTCTTTTTTCAACCAGACAAAAATTACTGATAACAAAGTGAGCTCAAATCTAAGCTCAATTTTTTGCGATCTAGTTTGTTGAGATAGTTATTACACATTTCAATGTTAGTCACGCAGGTTGATTTTGAGATGGATCAAATAAAACTTTTTGCACGTCGAGAAAGTCGAAACATCTATGCGGGGTCGAACGAATAATTTTTTTTAATGTCGGTTGAGAAAATCGAGAAAGTCAAAAATTATCTAAACTGGGTTGAGCAAAGGTGAGCACTTTTTTTGTTACGTCGAGAAAACATACCAAAATTTGGACAAGAAAGTCAATACATACCGAGTTTAGCTGAGAAAGTCGAAACATACCGAAAGTTGCTACGACGGTCGAAACATAAGAATTTTTGGTCGAGAAAGTCGAATTATGAATCGAGCACCTCGACCCGGGGGCGTAGCGGCTTTAAAATAGGAACATGTTCAAAGTATAACGAAGTGAAGCATTCTCAAATTTAACAATCAAAAGATTTACTGAAATCACTGAATGAAAGTAGATCAATTTAAAGTAATCAAACAAGCTAGTATGGCCATTGAATCTTCGGTATCTGAATCTGTTTTCATCTGCGATTCTCTAGTAACGACTAGAATAGCCGCTCGCCTGTTATAAAATGGTCCTGCTGAATTATCCTCTCTTACAGAAATGATGAATTTCAAACATCTAAGATTAGATTAGGACGATTTATACACAGGGGAATTTGTCGAAGTTGGAATGAAAATGTTTATGATTTTTTTAAATGAATTTTTATCATTTTCTCAAAAAATGCCTGGCCAATTTTGAAATTTTAGGATCAATCGAGAAACAGGTTGTGGCAAGCTTCCCTGTATAAACAGCTGTGCCCCAGTTTTTAGAGAAAAAGCATTTTGGCCTATAAAAAAACTTTCTTTTCTTCAAAATTTGGCCTTTTCGAAAAAGCTATTTTGATTCTCATAAATACTGTTTCCTCAAAACTAAAATTACGGCGTCAATAAAAAATTGGTTGTCCGTGTTTTTTTTCTGCATACATTTTTACGCTTCTGTGTACAAACAATTTATAGCTTTAAAATTAAAAAGGCAAACTTTTTTGACTTTTCTAAAAAATTACCCTGGCAAATTTGATATCCAGGGCTTATTCAAAACCACAGGTTGTGTGAAATTTCTCTGCATAAAGGGCCACATCCTGTTTAAAAAAAGCAATTTTTTAAAAAAAGGACCATTTTTTGAAATTTTTTTGGAAACTTTTTGAAATTTTTTTGTCAGTTCTCAGATCAAAAGCTCGATTGAGAAAATTAACAGTGGGAATTATATATGCATCAGCGGCTACGCTCTAACTTCTGTAGGAAAAAAAACGGTAACAATTTCGAAATTGTCAATTAGTTGAAATTTTGGCCGTTTTTGCAAATTTTCAAACTCTATTTGGGATGAACGGTTTATTTGAAACTACATGTTAAGGTTTTTTCGCATAAATCGATAAGACCTAATTTTTGTACATATATGTTTTAATGAAAAATCAATTTTGTTTATTTTGTGATCTTTTTACAGAAACTTCGGCAATTTTCTCACCAACTACTCTGCTATATTGGAGATAAATTGGAGGGTTAAATCGACGTAACATATTTATGAACGTTTTTTCTGCAGAAGCGATAACTCCTCCATGATTTAAGGTTTTTTGGTAGTTTCCTGAGTAAATCCCAACTTTTTGCATTTTAACCGTGTTTTGCAAAAAAGAAAATTTTTGTCAGTTTTGCAGTTTTTTGACTTTCTCAAGAACTTATCCTGTCAGATCTAAGTTTAGGGTTCAAGGAAAGTTTCAAACAAAAATGCTTGCAATGGGAAGTTTCTGTGTATAGCAGTTATACCCTGGTTTTTCTAGTAAAATGGTTTTAATGAAAAGAAAAATGTGTAAATGCATCTACTGTATTCTTTTTGTTAAAGAATACGCTATGGACGTAATAATAGTTTGATTTTTCAAGTTTTTATAGGACTGAACAATTTTGAAAACACAACTCATCTAATTCGTAATTTAGGAAGACAACTAAAGGGAGATGTTTTAACCTCCCCAGCAAATTATTGTTTACCGTACTTTCTGTAGGAAGCAAATTCGAATGATTTATTTTTCATTCAAAAAACTGCAGACGTCTGTTGTTATCCTTATTGGGTCAAAACGTCCGTTAAATTGAAAAGATAATGTTGGTTTTTTGCTCAAAAATTAGTTGCATCAATAAAACATTTGAAAACTGGTTTTTACGCATGTATTACATGCATGGGTGGATCTAAAATTTTTGCGAGAGGTAGATTTTTCTAATAATTGTTCAAGGTTTGATAAACTTTCGAAGAAACAAGCCAAAAGTAATCGGCCAAAAAATTTCGAAGAAACAGGCTAAAAAGGTACGCGTTTACTGTCAATTTTATGCATACTGGCGCTCACATTATTATGCCATTATTATTTGTGAATTGTTAGTGGAATCCGCAACAAGGACGCTCTCTTTGATCTTCCTTTGTACTTTCGTTTCTTTGATCGTTCTGACGAAATTTTACCATGTTTAAAGACTTTTCTCTGGATTCCAGGGACTTATACACACCAAATTCTGCGCCTATCCAGAGCACAGTTTGGCCTCGAAATGCATGGCGGTTTTAGGAAATTTTAGGCTCAGCCGGGCGAAAAAAGATGTCGGAAAATAGTATCAAGGGGATCTTTGGGTGATGAAGGGATAGGACGACTCTCATCTATTTCTCTCTAATAAATTTCTCTCAAAAAACTTTCATATACTTTGCTTGAAGTACTCAGGAGAGCGTACCATAAACCAAAGAAGAATTTAAATTCAAAAAAAATATATTAAATTTAATTTTTTCCTATAAAATTCTCCCAGTAAGGTTGTTGCAGAACTTTGTCGAAAACATAGATGCCTAAAAACAGTCCGATTTAAGTTTTGGTAATCTAAAAATTTTAATTTTGAAAAATTATAATCAAGTTAATGATATTGTTAGCTTAAGATCTTAAATATGTATTTTTTTCGTTTATGATTGTTTTTAATATACCAGTACTATTTGTCCACACATCAAAATGAAAAATTGGTAGCAGGTAGAATTACTTTATTCCAATCTACCCTATGCCTTTCTTTCATATGACATTCGACACTCAAATTATCCCATAATAATTTTTACAATCATCATTGCCAACAGAATTCAAATACCCGGGTTCAGGTGTTTGACTTATAATTCGATCAAAATTGGTCGAATACATACATGGATGTAATTCGACCCAAAATCTGCGGTCGAAAACAGCCTTTGAAACGAAAATAGTCGAAAACATGGTCGAAACATAGTCGAACAATATTTTGAGTCATGTTCGAGCACTAAGTCGAAAGTAAAGCATGGTCGAAACAATCGAATACAAAATATGGTCGAATGACTGAATGCCAAAACTCAGAACGCGAAGTATTTCTCTAGATCATAGAACGTTTTTAAAGCTTGTATAGTTCATAGATTTTTGTGCAAACCGAGAGATGCCTTTCATTAAATTTTTATTCGCACCTAAAAAAAATTTAGAAACATTTAATGAAAAAAAATTAAATTATGGGTTTTGTGTTTTGAGTTTAAAAGTTTTGAAAACAGTTTTATGTATAATAGCAATAACTATTGCACGAACTATTTGCAGAAACACAGGATGGTGTTTTTAAAAACTAATCTTCAGTTATACCAGAGTACATTTTAATCTTGAATGTCTCGAACTCAGACATGATATTTCCGGTCAGACTAAGGATCTTACTGATCTTCAACATTTTTGGTACATTGATGTCGAAGACAGCGGGGAATTTGATGAGTTTTTCAACTTGAACTTCTCAGGCAATTTTTTAAGTCTTCCCTTCGTGTCACAAATGTGAGGTAGTAACTGTCTGAGTACATTAGGCTGCAATCAGTGTTTGCTTATTCTTTTAAAACGAAAACTGATCATGAGATGTTTTGCAAGTTCCAATAAATTTGCGCGCACTATTGACGGTTTGTTCCACACTAGACATTTTTCGCTAAGTAACTGCAAACAAATTTTTACTGGTCTGTGTTTTCAATAGCCTTTTAAATGTGGTTTCAAAATATTTTTAAACGTTTTCTGTAACTATCAGTTTATTGCGTATGCCTCATAATCAATTTGTAGAAATTCACATCGACTTATTTACAGCTTCTTTTCTTTTCTGCGTAATGAAGTCTTCCAACAAATGTATGAAGTCTTCCAACAAATGTTGAAAAAATATGGCGTTAGAGCTCATTGAAATTCTAGAACAATTTATGATAGACACTTTTTGATAAAATTCATACAAGTTGAGAAAACTGGATCGAAAAAAATTTTTTTTATTCAGCGGGATTTTCAAAACAAGTAGTCGATCAAGTTTTTCGTGGCCTCTACCCTTTCGGATAGTCGAACTTACCTTCCTTGTAAAAAACGAATTGAGCTCAACTTCAGAAAATAAATCGACAGCGAAAAATCAAAATTGAGCCTGAACAAATTTCCGTACAAAAACCACACAAAAAACTAGAACTCATCCGAATACAAGGTTCCTTCTCATTTTCAATGATCGGAACAAAACATTTGGATAAAAATTTAAATTATGTCAATTTTAATTAGATTGATAGTTTGAAAGATCGGTAATCCTTTAATATTTATATGTTGCTTTTTAAATGTTTCTACTGCAAATAATTTCGACCTTTATCACCGAAACTACTTGGAGTTTTTAATCAGGAAAAAAGTTTCGCTGTTGCTATGGAAAGCATGTCCATCATTTCCATCTTTCTCCTTATAATTCTTCCTCTGAGATGAGTTTTTCGAAACACTAAGATAAAAAATAAATTCGACACTTTGACAGCAAACAATACATAACTTCAAATCTCATTGATATAAATTAAATTAGAAACTAATAGACAATGCCATAAATAATTCCACTAAATAATTTAACACCAGACAAACTTATCATCATCGACCAGATTAAAAATTGGCACGGAAAAAAATATTAAGGTATTGTTAGCAAAAAATGACAACTATTTTTTTATTTGTGCTAAGTATTTTTTTCAACTTTTTTTAAATTGCATTTAGGCAAATATTTTTCGACGACACCATTTCTATCTTCAGATCTCAAAAAAGTGCCAAAATGAGCAATAAGATAAGTTCACTATGATCGGCTGTTTCTTTCCGTTCGTTTTTCTCATTAGGCGGCTTTGTACTTGGCGTTCAGTCCAAAATCCTTGTTGGTGCGGAACTTTTTCCAGATGACTCGCAGTATCGCTAGAAAGTTCCCAGAACCCAGAAAGAAAAACAGAATGCCCACTACTGGAACCTAAACAAGACCTGGCAATTTATGAGAATTCACTATACTATGGTCTGTTCTATTGTGTGAAAAATTATACAGACTGGTTTTACAAGATAATCTCGTTTTTTTTTTTTGTTCAAAATGTTTCTGAGCTTCCTTCCTGGATTAAAATTGAGCTTAGTTTGACATTGTATCGAACAGAATTTGAAAGTATTAAATTCTCACTTCACATAATATTTCATATTTCTTGCAAATTAAATGGCTATTATTTGATTCAATTGATTAAAGAACTATCTACAATTCCTTGACAAGTTCCGATGGATTATGTACATAAATATCCATTAGATGCCATCATTGAGGAATCGACGTGTTTTTTCTTGAAATCTCGAGTATACTTATGAAGAACTGCATAAGAGGGATGCAAAACGTTGGACATACAAAATCAAAGAACCATGTCCTACTTCAGAAATTTTTTGGATACAAAAGCTTTACGTCTCAAAGTTACCTATAAACTCAAATTTGCACGCAAAAATTGCTCAATACTGGCAGTCTGCTGTTTTTAATTCTGTCTGTTCCAACTTTTTGCTACTTATTATTGCATAAATCATACCTGCCACTCAGAGCACTTGGGATGGAAGGAGAGATTATAGAGGATGAAGGAGTTGTACAGCTCCAAAGAGTAGATGACGAGGAGGAATGGAATCATGAAGGTCAGACCCCTCCACATCCAGCCCTGGAACCCCTCCACTGTGATACGCATCTGGCTGTTGCTACTCGCACCCAGCGCACGCAACCTAACACAATAACAGCAGCACCTTGTCAACAAACACACACTAAACTAACCCACCCCACCCCCTATTGTAAATACTACCTCTAAACTAGCCCCCTTTTTTGATCAATTTCTTCAAACCAAACACCCCATTGTAACAATTTCCACCTAAATTAGCCAATCATTGTGAATAATTTTTACATACTTCCCATTATTTCTCCTCAAACTAGCCAAAACTGTCTTCATTTCTTCTTAATTCGATGGATCTACCCAGCACAAGAAGAAAATTGCACTGAAGCAGTACATCCAAATTCAAAATTCTGATCGGCTGATAAACTTCAAGTTAGCCTTTAGCCAAAAGAGCGATCTCCTACCTTGATTGGTTTTTCATTTGGTCCAATACAACTATTAAAATACCCTGATTTATCTTTATTAACCACAAAACTATTCAAAACTAAATTTGAAAATAAGAGATTTCTAATCCTTGTTGCAAAACTTGGATGCAGGGATAGCGAGATGGATCTTTTGTTTTAAAAAGAGCATGAATAGTTCACCCAGAGGTGGATCTACATTTCGCAAATGCGCAACAAAAAAGAGCTCTAAAAACTTTTCAAAAAATCCCCTAAATCCGCTGGTGAGAGTTCAATACAAACCATTCCGAAAAATCATGAAATGAACAAAATACCGATACAAAATAAAACAGTCCCAAAGGGTCCCCCTGCCGACCCAAAGATTCCCCCCTTTGTACTATTTTGAGATAACCCTTTTTGGCAGACTGACCCTGAAAATTGTCTAAAGGCGCCTTTGACGCCGAAATACACTAATTTTGAGGGGAGCGCGCGCCGAAAAATGCGATTTTTTTGGCCTGTTCTTTCAAAATTATTTGGCCTGTTTTTCTTCTTCAAAATTTGGTCAAAATGGTGGTCTTTCTAGTGATTTGGGAGGGCAGAAAATCAATTTGGTCGACCTACAAAATCCTAGACCCGCCCCTGTATACACCGGTGAAAAATAATACATTAATGAGTTCTATCCAAGTGGAACCTGATCTAAACTATATTTTATGATTGGATAAATTAAATGTTTTACCAATGTAAAGTATTTAATATTAACCAATCATGATCCATCTAACTAACAACCCACTTATTTGTAAGTGCTGAAGTTACTTGTAATTTCAGCACCAGAGAGATTTGAATTTAACTTAGAAATTAGTTGGACTCTCCCGAGCACTTCAGCAGCCGCAATAAACCAGTATACCCTAGATCTATTGAGCCTAGCAGAGACTAGTTAAACAACCTGAGACTAGATAGTATAAGAGTAAGATTAGGATCGGTATTAGACTAAGAAGTTGCACGAATCTATCCGGCCGAAAATAAGATAGCGTGACGAGCAGACGGTGTACCCTATCCGAAATTACTCTATGAGTTAACCAACTCGAGTCTAACTCATCTGGTGCGACCATAAGTCTCGAACAAGACCTTAATAGCTTAGAATTAACCAAAATAGATTAGAAATTAGACAAAAACATTTACAAAATGTTATACGACAATAATTTAATCGAAATGTCTCTACGACTCAATAGATCAGAGCCAATATTCCGAACCATAACAGAACTACCCGGAATTGGAAGAAAACCTCGAACCAGAGACGACATACGACAAAGTAGAAACTTGCCATATAGCTATATGATAGTTAGGCAAAAACCAGAACAAACTTTTATATTTAGAATATTACTGGCAATGAATTTAGATTTTCATTTGCAAACATAAAACCTTGAAGTTAATCTTCAAAATCATTTCAGGCGCTAAACAAAATTATTAATATACAATAACGATTGATAAAAAGATCTAAGATCGTTTTCCTAAAACTCTGCAGTAATATATAAAATATGTTTGAAAAATATTTATTGAAAAATAAAAAATAAAAATTAGTAGCATGACAATAAATGGTTAGTAATCATAAATCATCCTGTTGTTCCAGCTCCATCATCTAAAACATAACAGCAATCATAAACCCACTAATATCATCAAAACACTAAATCTTTCCTTTACACACATTTTAAAAATTTTATTAAAACTTAAATTCACTTAATTTTAAAACCAGATCATCAAGGCTTATCCTTGGATCTTAAATCATTTTCTACTTAATTAAATTTCAAATTTGATCATCAAGGCTTATCCTTGGATCAAACAGAACAACTTTGTTCTCCCCCACCCACTTAATTAGTGTCTAACGACCTCAAACGTCGATTCACTACCCAACCCTTTCTAAAGACCTAAGACTAATAGAAATTTTTAAACAAAACTAATCATTCAAATTAGGCTAAACAGTGAAGAACTTCGGTTATTCATCCTTCACTTGACCCCCCCTCTTACCAGACCCAGGATAAATCTTAGACTTAGTAAGTTTAAAATAGTATCTAACGAACTACTCGCGTTCTAATTATACCTGAACCTTGTGGATCGATTTACTATTCTCCAACCCTTGAACACAATCACTACCCCTAAGTAAGATTAAGTAAGTTAACACCTTAACTTATACTAGCCACGAGAAAGTAAAAAATCATTCTTCGGAATCGATATACTTTTCTCTCCAACCCTGAACAAACAGACCCAGGTTAAGCTAACCAAAAAATCGTAAGAACTAACAGTTTAGGAAAATAGAAATCATTTAACAACCCTTTGCATCCGTCATTCTAAACCTTATGTCATTTAAAAACCTAGGAAATAAACAAACAATCGTTTTACACAATTGTGAAATAGATAACAAAAAATACGACCTTGTAATCACACCTCATACACAAACAGTTGGATACATTCGAACAAAACGACAAACACTAAAAAGAAAAATAATAACGAAACAAAGACAAATAACACGAAAAAGATTTTCAAAAAATCGAAACGCATTTTCAGAATCAGAAACCAACAGTTTAGACGAACTTTACAAACTAAAAGAATCAATAGATAAAAATTGCCCACTTCACGATCAATTATATTTTTCTGACTCAGAAACAACTTCAAATTCATCACAAAGAGGAAAAAGAAGAATAAAAAAACAGTACAAACACAAACCAGTACATCTATACAATTGGAATCAACCAATTCGACACATTAATAATTACATATTAACAGTCATCGAACGTAAAAATGAGTTCAACGCACACCCCAGGTGACGAAACTCCAGATGATGATGAAATCTTTCCTTTTATAGTAGATGCAGATACTGATAGAGGACAACACATATTTTGTCAAAATTTACTCGTAAATTTATTTGAACCCGGAATCAGTCCATGTAAAACAGAGTTCCCAGATGTAAAAATCAAAAGACAAATCATAGACCACTACTTAAAAGATATATGCAACATAACACAACAGTATGGAATCTACTCCATAGAATTCACCTCACCAAACCATAATAATAGAAAATATACAATTCAAACAGACGATCTTGATTTAGAATTTTCAAAAGTTTTTTCAGAATATATAAAAAGCATCCAATATCATAACTCACAAAGAGCAAACTCCATATTCACCAATGAAGTTTTCGCAATAATATATAGTTATATTTCGATATTAGAAAACGAAATCCCAATAACAAATGTCTCACCGACAGAAACATCTAAACATTTGAAAGTACGACATGAAATCACACTACTCTCTAGTTATTTAAACATCATTAAAGAAAATTTCACGAAAGACGACGTTTCACAACATACAAAACACGATCTACAAAAAATTTTGGCATGGTTCATCATAGATTATTTCACACACAATATTGATTTAATTGCACAAGCAAGAAAAAATTTTAGACCCCAAAACTCGAACGATGATACCGCTATCACAGAACAATCAGATTATGTTTGGGACCCCGAATGGTCTCATCCCGCATTTATAAGCTTCCCACAATCAATCTCAAGTCAAGCAATAAGTACGATATCTTACATAAGAGATTATGTAAAAGTAATACCATTAACCATTGATGCAACACCATTAAACTATAATACATTTTTGCCCGATACACAAAATAATAGTTTAAACTCTACAGTTATACACAATGAAAACCTCAATGGAACTAGGAATCTTACTCAACAAGATATCCAGACACCATCACACTTCATAAATGAAGAAATTGTACACACAACAACTACACAACAAAGTATTTCACCAATACGCCCAAATTTAACAACACCAAGAAATACAAATCCTTCACAAACACAGGTAACCTTACAATCAACCGTTAAACCTTCGGGTGCCCCTAAATATTCACATATGGATTACCAAACATACAGACCCATGACAATACCATCAAAAACACGCAAAACATTCACTAGAAACAACTTTACAGACCATAATTATAATTATACACATCCATCAAAAACATGTAATCAACCACAAAGGAATTTTAACCAATATACAAGATCTCGAAATTGGGATAACCCAATGACCCAACCTAATTCAATAAATTTCCAAACAAATCCTCCACAGGATCACAGTGAAAATTACCCATTTTTTCAACAAAATAAAAATAAAAAACAGACATCTTATCAAATGGATTATTTATCCTCAGATGATGATTTCTTACAACCAGATATATTTGCACCAAATACTCAAGAATATCGTAGACAAGGAATACAGAAAACACGTACAAATCATAGAAATTTTTCTCCACAACCAATAGATGCACAACATCAACAACAAATTCAACAACAGAATCTAATTAATACACAATCTTTTCAACCAATTCAACAACAAAATCCAATGACTGCACACTCGTATCAAGCATCACAAATGCAAAATGAAATACCACTCCCATATTATCTCCAACAACATGAAATAACAAGAAACCAACTTTCAAATTTTTCTCAAATGCCAAATGCAGCAGAATCATTACAAATGACAATGAATCCATACCTTATGGGTGGATCATCAATAACATCAAACAAACCTTTAATGGTTTTCACAGGAACAGACCCTGAATACTCTGTAGAAGATTATTTAAATGCAGTAACAGCAAACCTGATTTTAAATA